GAGCCATCCACGAGGCAATCCGATAAAGGAATGCCCGACACTGGCCCGATCCCTGAGTGCATGACCAGCTTCACATGTCTGTGCCAAGAGGTTGTAGGTAGGAAATTTGTGGCCATTGATTTACGCGCACGGCATCCATTTGGCCGCCCCAATGAATTGCAATTTGACCCTCACCGTGATGTCCTCCCAGGCCGCTTAACCTCCGCCCATTGCAAGGCAACATTCAATCTGGAGTTTGCCTTGCGCGCTCACTTCAAGCATGCCTCGTATCTAATTATATTATGTCAATTGGCTTATGATTTGCACTTCGGTCCGTCGATATCACAGCCACTAGAAATTGTCTCATTGGTCGACCTTATTCACCCCTAACCTCTGCGCGAGGAATTCGGATTGATAGGTTATGAATGGACGGACAGAGTTGCCAGCTCGTCGAGCCTTCTTACTATTTGACAGCATGCCATTCCACCTTGAGATATTGAGCTAGCTAACCCATTGACCTGAGCTGCCTCAGGTATGCCTACCTATGACCTGGATTGCAATTTCTTGCAATATCTATACCAGCATGGGCATGGGCCTAGCACTCAGATGATCTTGCGTTGGCCAACTACATTAAGTGATTTTGGCCTAAATAATTGGATCTCCTTATAACCATCCTTTATCAAATTGAGCGTACATTGGTCCAAGACATTCGGTTAGATCCCTATTTATCCAATCAGCATGCCAGAGGGCATGCATCCCGAAGATCAATATTTTCAAGATTTAATGGTATCATTTTGGCAAATGCCCAAGGACGGACCAATCAATTCCATTCGACCAGAAATCTGGTCCCAATCGCTCCAGCAAATTACCCGGCTCCTCGGACTCCACCTCTAGAAACCGAAATTTATTCATGAAGCTTGCGAGGTTCAGCCTCCGCCAGGAAGATATATTCAACCAAATGATTCTGGACCGCTCGTTTCTGGTGCTTTTTCAATGTAGGAAGGGCAATATTATGCCCTTGTTCCTCCAGATTTCGAAGGATTAGCGTCCACCACAGCCGCCAAAACGAAGGAGCGCAGCAACTTTTGCGGCAAGTGCTATTCCGCACCCTAACGAAGAATTGTTGAAGCGTGCCTAAATGCTGAAGCTCAATGTGCCAGACTACGCAGAGATTGCGGATACGTCAAATCCTGACCAATTCCAAACATTTGACCTTCTTTGGATGGGACCACCATGCCTCAAACACACGAAGCAAAATCCTTTGAGGTCGACACAATCGCGCGAGATGCCACAACGAATTCTATAATTCAATCAACAGACCTCATCCACAAGTTCGCGGCCATAACACCTTTAACCACAAAGCGCACGCCCGACGATAATTAATCTCCATCCTAAAGACCAATAACAATACCTGGGCGCAGCTCCACAAGATGGATTCACAAAATTTGTAATTAAGGCTCGGGAATCTATCTTTTTGAATATTTTTGGATTGCAATAATGCATATATATAAGGATTTGAAAGATGCCATTCGTCGATCAAATCTTGCAAGGCCCCCTTTGCGGGCGACGGCTCTGCAAAAGCAAAGGTGCCAGGACCGTACCTGTGCAGGAAACATTTTTGCAATCTTGCCAAAAATTGGCCTTCTAGGCCATTGCCAAAAACCTGGCCACGAAGCCAACCAACAAATTCGGCTGCATATTGCTGGGTGGTGTCACCATGACCATGGATCATGAGCCAGGGTTGTAAAATTTTCCAAAATATAGTATGTTCCAAAAGGTTCAGAGGTTGTGTCCCTGTGTGTGATAATAGGCGAATCAACTGTTGTGTCTACTCTATCCAAATGTTCCGGTGGAATCCATCCCAAATTAGGTAGGCCCAAATCTGAGCTCTCAACACGCTAAGGATGTAGTACTTAGCGCCTCGATTTCGCAATGCGCAGCGCCGAACCACAACCTAATTCAGTTAGTGGATATGCGACACCGTCCCACACGCCTGCAATGCAGCCCACTAGCCTACGCCATAGCACAGAAGTTACGCAAATAATCCGTGCCTTGGCCAATCAGATCTGGAACAATTCAGGCAACCATGCTAGCTAATTCAACACTCAATCATTCTCCCATTTTCATTTATATTCTCACCCTCCCTTTCCCTTTCACTTTCACTCACCACCACCGCCACCATCACCACGATCCCCACCTTCATCACCACCATCACCTCTCTGGACCCCAATACGTCTAGATCTCTAGATTTTTTATTTATAAACCTCATATACCCACTGTTTGGGATCTCTTGCTAAAATAATGTTATTTTAGATATTTTTGTTATTCAATATTAGACATATGTGATTTAATATATATTTAATATATTTTTAAATAAGAACGAAGAATCACGATTAAAGGAATGAATATTTAGAATTTGACTCATATGGGGAGGTAATAAATAAAGATATTAAATAAAGAATATATTGTTTTATATTTTTCGAAGAATAAATATATATAATTCATTTAGAATACGCATATTGTATTTTTAAATATCATCGAATCAGAGGTTAAGAAAGATTAATATAATATTTCGATAAAATTATCATTGAAGATTTAATGATTATAAATTAAATAAAGTCTAAAATCGAATTTATATGTTTTTAAATAATATATTCCAAAATATATTCGATTATATATTTGGCAATAACATCCTTCAAAAATATCAATATATAAAATATAAGGTTTATATAACGATGCTATTTTTTAATAATAATATCAATTTTAAATATTTTTAAATATAAATTAAATAAATAACATTTCAAACATATAAGAAATAAATATAGTTCCTATATATATTAAATATTAAATATATATATATATTATATTTCCAATAATATATTATCGAATATATTTTTCCCTTATATATATTTTTGCAAATATAAATATATATAATTTTACTAAATATATATATATTAATATTTATATTAATATTAAAATAAAACAATTATATATATGATTAAATAAAATTCATTTTAAACATATTTTTTTAATTCTATTTTTTTCTCATTATGCCCCGTGTAATCGTTTAAAATTATGCGCCGGGTTTCGATACAAAGGTAAAATAAAACTAAAATAATCGACGACTCAAAATGTCATTAATTTTTCCTCGGAATTTTTCCGGAATTTAGAGCTTTTGCAATGAAATTTATTAGAAAATTAAAGGTTTCGTTCCTTCAAAAGAAAATTAAATATTGGAAAAAAAATTCGGTCGACATACCATTAGCCGATTAAGCGACGTTATGATTCGAATCCCCCCTGGACGTCTTTTTACGATGGATGCAAGTTGCCAGGCTGCAAAATGTGTGGCCGTGCGCGCATTGGAGCTTGAGCGTTGTTCCCGCAGCAAGGCGCCGCTGCCAGAACTGTTTCAGGGTGTCGTTACGCTAGAGAGTTTGGGCGCAGGGTACCGCTAGTGTGTGCGTTTCGAAATGCACATAGGCGCGGCGCCCTGCGCCCAAACTCTCAAGCGCTGCAACAGCTCTGGCAGCGGCGCCCTGCAACGGGACCAGCGCCCAAACCCAATGCCAAAAACATCAGTTACAAGCTTGCAGGGATCACCGCGCTTGGTTTTGTCTAAGGTAGCGCCGCCCTCCACCGGTTCCAGCGCCCAAGAACTCAAGGACACATAGCAACGGCGCCCTACGGCACGCAGCGCCCAGGCCGAAGCACACTCCGGCGGCACTAGCGCCCAAATTCCGCGGAGTTTGGGCGCTGGTGGCGCCGGAGTACGCTTTGGCTTGGGTGCATGTGTGTTGTAGGGCACCGTTGCTATGTGCCCTTGATTGGGCGCTGGAGCCGCTGCGCGACCTTCAAATTCAATTAATTTATGACAAACAATTTTTTATCTTAGGCGATTAGCATGACGGGGACACCGTCACAACATGACCGGGACACCGTCACAACATGACCGGGACACCGTCGCAGCATAACCGGGACACCATGAAGACACCATCACAACATGACCGGGACACCATCGCAACATGACTGGGACACCATCACAATACGACCGGGACACTATCACCGGGCCGTCACAACATGACCGGGACAAGCTCAAAACATGATTGGGATACCGTCCGCCGACCAACTCTGACGGTGATCCGACGACACCCGTCCGCCTATTAGTTTTGCAAGATTCCATAGCATTTTTTGCAAATAGAAGAGTGGCGCAGTATGCCTGTCGCATAGATTTCGTGGCAGGCGCAGCACTTGGTGAACCTGGAGCGCAGATTTCGTGGCAGGAGCAGTACACAGAGCCTCTCAGACCAGCTGGGGTCGCGTAGATTTCGTGGCGCAAAATTTGGTGAACCTGGAGCGCAGATTTCCTGGCAGGAGCAGTACACAAACACAGAGCCTCCCGGACCAGCTGCGGCGCGCGTGTCACCGCTGGCCCGCGGCTGCCTGTCGCGTAGATTTCGTGGCAGGCGCAGCACTTGGTGAACCCAGCACACACCACTCACCTTACACCACTCATCCTACACCACTCGTCCTACACCACACATCACACACCACTCATCTCACACCACTCACCACACA